GCTGGAAGTATATTTTCCAGAAGTACAAGATAGTCGTACGAAGGTTCACCAATTCTGTCTGCTGAACAGACTATCTTGATAATATGATATTTTATGTACAAATAAACATGTTTCGCTGATGTCACTTATACGTCGAATGCATCAGGGAGGATAGTAGTATACTATGAAATTAATGGAATGGAATGAAATGAAAAATATAACCTATAAATGTGTAATACAGTCCTTGGATTTACTTTATGTTTATTCTCACGTCTACTGCTCACTCTATGGCCAAAGAGGTCAGTACCCATCGCTGCCTCCTAACACATAACTTAATTTTATCTGAATAAATCCTAGGTTGTATAGTCTTGTAAGATCGTATGTGATCTAATACCAATACGAGTCTGTATGTAATAATTTGAAACTGACATATCAGTATGAGGGAGCAATTAGTTTTTAGTTAGTACTATTTATTTATTTTTCCTCAATATATGTAATTTTATTAAGGTCATTGGAGGCTATTAAGGGTGCATTTATAACACTAAAGAATGCTTCTCTAAAATGGGACTACTGGTAAACTAGAGTAAAACCAAATACCTTAATGCGTACCCCACAGTGTCGAGTTAGGTAACAAGTATAATAATAGAAGGGTAGATAATTGAAAAGGTTGAGGAGTTTATATATATATATATATATATATATATATATATATATATATATATATATATATATATATATATATACCTTGAATCACAGGTAAATAAACAATGAATAATCTTGGTGCGGAAATCAAAAGTAGAATATTAGCCGATTCAAAATTTTAAAAAATACCCACATATTTTTTATATTTTTTTAAATTAATAATAAAATTATTTAATGACTGACTTTATTGTACATCAATATGTTATTTTCATTTAATTAAATAAAATGCTAGTATAATGTAAGATAGAATGAAACTTAACATTAATATACAAAAATTGAATCAAATAAAAAAAAAAAAATCTCGTGAATTGAAAAATGTTACAGAAGGCTTCAACTCGATATTTTTGGAAGGGAAATTGGAAAGTTGGCAGGGAGAGAAAGTCAGTGAGATAATTAGCAATCTGATTTTTTAAAACTTTTATTTAATTCGATCAGTAATCAACTATAGAGAAATAATGTAATATATAAAGTTTTACATACACTATGTAATAGTGATATATACAGTCTTGTCCGTACCAACAAACATGTCTTGAGCGAATACAATAATGGATTAGAATAAGTTGATGGATAGTTAATTCTTATTGCCTAACTTATTAAAAAGGTATGAATGAAAATAGAGGAATATATTCCATATCGATATTATTGTTAGAGCAGTAAACTCATGCTAGGATAACTACCATTTTTCCAAATGCATTAGACATATTTTAAGAAATATTAGCTGAAATATATTTATTCGTATTTACAACATAATATTATCAAGTCAGTCTGTTCAACACACGCAAACGGTCAAACTTCATACTTCAAACAGGACTGTTAAGTAACAATTTATTGTACTATCTCAAGACCTACATATTTGGCGCAGAAGTGCCTTGGTTTTTGTTTTCACTTACTAATAGTATATTACAGCATAGATGTGCATTACTGAGAATATAGAAGCTATAACTGGATTATTTATTTATTTTATGAAATATATCAAAAAGTCGATCATTTTTTATCTTTTGTTAACTTATTCAAAAATATTACAATCTGTCACAATTAAGGACATTTATAATAGTGTTCAGGGAGCACATTCACACTCTATTTACAATAAATAAAATAAATAATACAGAAAATAATAATACTAAAAGTAAATGTATATAAACAAAAGAACTGAACTAATCAAAATAACAACTAAAACCCATGCATAGTATTATATAATAATCTGGTTCCCTTTCAAAAAGAATGAATCTTTCGCCTTTTACTATTGTAATAATTTTATGATAGATATTCAATAATATGTAACAGTACTTTACACTATAAATGTGACCAGTGTCAGGCCCTGAATGATAAGTAAAATATACGTCGCATCGGGGCTTCAAAAAATGTTTTATTGAAAAAGATTTACAGTTAATTATATATGTAAAAAAATAAGGCTGGATAACTGTTAACTGTTGTTACGGTTTGTGTCAATTTTTAACTTACTCGATAATTTTTATAATTATTAATAGAGCAATGGTTTAATGCAGTGACGGATTTACGCTCAGACAAATCACTTTGATATCAATGGAAAGTTGATAAACATTGTGTTTCGACGGCAGATTTCGAACATAATATATTGGACCAAATTTATAATAATTGTTACTTATTCGTCGCAAAATATGATGTTCTCTAAGTCTTGAAATTTTAGGTAGAAAGACGCATTTTGAAACTATTTCTCAAAAAAGTCCAAAATTCCATTTTTGTTCACAAATCAAGGTTGGCGAACATGAATTTGTTAACTCTTCCTCAAAGAAATAATTATTCGAAATACGTGTAAAGTAAGTTTTGTGTAAAGTAAGTCTCATTTTTCTACATAGGCTCCTCAACTATCGAATCGCCAAAAATGTTTCTTTATTATTGGAAGTGCCTAAGGGATCAAAGTGCTATTCTCCTCCAACTACCCTGTTCAATAGATTTTTAGTTCGCCTAAGACTAACATAGAAGGCTATATTTTAATTTTCATAACCTAAATTCGTAATAAGTATCCCATGGGAAACATAGCAAGAGGCATTCAGCACAAATCACGATTTATCTCGAAAACGGGACACTTTAAACGGGAGGGCTTTAAAACGTAGGACACGATAGTTCCCTCTGAACTACACCGTGTTATGCCTTATGATGACTATGTCTCGTAGTCTTTAAAATACAATAGGGGTATTCATACAGTTGTTGTAAACGTTTAATGTGCTATTGTGCTAAGCAGTCAGCAAAAATTGTGAATGAATGGTAAATAACCTGCCTAAAGTGTTATTAGCTATAGTTAAGGTTATGCCCGTACTTTAAACAAAATTTTTGAGTACTTAATTGATCTACTAACGTTTTGATTTATTTTTAAAATGTCAAAGCGAAGTGGAAAGACTGAGTTACTGGATTATTTGTTTAAAAATGCTTGTTTGAAATTTAATAGAAGATTCATATGATTCAGAAAGCAAAGAACTTGCTGAATACATATTCGTAGATGACCTCCTAGCTGTCTTTATATTCCATTTCTGTGAATGTTGTACACAAATAAAGAACAAAGAATCAAACACATCAAAATCTTACAATAACCCACTCCGTACGTTTACGAAATTAGCAACACTTAAAAGGACCCTACGCTTCAAAGAAGGGTCAGATTGAAAAATATTTTTTAGAATTTAATGCATTTGTGGAACGAATGTATTTCTCTCAGCTTAATTATCGAACGGTTGCCTAATCATCCCTCAACAACATTTCCTACATCAATTGTTTTACAAAATCGTACAAAAACTGTAAATATAGCCTTAAACCCTTAATTTTTATCCTAATTTTTTATTCATTGTTCTTATCCTACAATATCACATTTCTGTTGTAAATATTCTACTTTTCATTATCTAATGTATCACTATTGTTCATCATTTCAGTTACTGTATGTTATATTTAACTAGTTGGCTCGTGCGAATAATACGCAGAAAATTTTGTTTAATGAAAAATAGCAAAACAATAAGTAGTTCCTATTTATTATGTAAGGAAGGAATTAATATTTTTCCTTGGTCGATTACAATATTCCATTAAACATAATAGACAAAAATATTTGTACAAAGTGTTTGATAAGATATATTTTTAAACGCTGACTGGAAAGATAATGAAAGTAATAAAGGCAAAATAATGCCCCGATCATGGGATTTTCTAAATTATTAAAAAATATAAAATGTAGGAACAACCAAATGTCTTTAAGGAATAATAAAGTTAATACATCAGCCAGGAAACTATTCTACTCCTAAATGTAATATCTTTAAACAGGAAGACATTATTAAGCATACCAAAAATAATGGACTGTATCCGATTAATAATTGTCCGATTTTTACGATTTTCTTTTTTGTTTAGTAGGTAATTTAGTAATCTTTCTAATTATCATGGGTACAATAAAGAAAAAATGCATACTTTTTGAGTTATTTGCAAATAAAGTTTCTTTTCCTTCATAATTTTTTCTCCAGAAATTTCGGAGGGATAGGAATATTTTTCGCATGTGAAGGAGAAGAATATCTTCAAAATGAGTGGTCAATCATTGAATTTGATGAAGAATGACGAAGTTATGGCGTACCGACAAAAAAACACCTTTTAGAAAAAATATATAGGATTATTTACATATATTAGTATTTTTGTTATATACATTTATTTATTTTATTTTCTAATTATTCAAGGAATTGTAATATATCAATACTATGTTACTTAAATTAACTATGTATCTCAATACGCGTGATGTCGCATAATGGTACGCGTGGAAATATATGCACCAATTACAGGGTTACTGTAATCCTGAAAAAAAAAAAAAAGAACCCAACACTGCGTTAAAATCGAGAATGCTAGCAGCCATATTTAACACACATTTCGAAAATAATTTTCTCGACCTTTAAGAGGTTTACAATACCCTTAATTTTAAAATTAGCACTTGTTGCATGAATGCCCCTATCTATCCCGTTACGATTCGTTAAGTTTGATCTGATTTTTTTTCAATCAGTTTTATTAAAGTTGTTGAAGTAATTCAAGGCCCGAAATAAGTATTTATCACTACTTGAAATTACCTTTCGTTTGCTAGCTCAATCATTAAAATCCAGCAGGATAAGTCTATACTACCGCATTATATGCAGTTAAGACATTTAAACCACACGACGGTCAAATCGCAACTAATTGCACAGCTCCTGTTCCTCGAAAGGTTGGTACAGCGGCCTTCTGCGGCTGATCAAGAAGCATTTCATCCTTTAAGGATCATGTGTAAGAAGGTATGAGTACGCGAAGATAATTGGCTGGAGAGGGAGATGAGCTTATAAACAGAGCGAAGGATGTTTTCAGAAAGGTCTTACCAGGCGGTTGCACATTCCAGCTACCCCCACCAGGAGGAATCCCCGAGCACACGTCACGGACTCTTCCCTCTCGCCGTTCGGGCTACTTACATCAATATGGTCTCCACCATCCTTCCAAATGGAGTCTTCGTCGAGGAGGGATCGTCAGATGTAACGAACATAGGTTCAGGTAGAGAAAAATATGTTGATAAAATTAATTTAAAAAAAAATAAATATTTTGGAAAAACAAGAGTGTGTACTTTAGACCTCACGATAGAAATGAAAATATCAACAAGGCGAGATTAATAATATAAAATATAATTTATAAATAATAACCCATTATAAAGAGGATGAAATGATGAACATTTTCTTCCTTAAAGTACACAGATCCGATTTTTAGTTTCTGAGATATTTTAATCCATATCTTCAATAAAACTCGTTATAATTTGGTTTTCGACACTTTTTCCTTTTCGCCTCTCCAACACGGAGTCGCGTTAAGATACCATTTTGAATAATAGCTCGTTCCAAAGAGGATACAATGATGAACATTTCCTTCGCTGACAATACGCAGGTCCGACTTGGTAATGTTTGAGATATTTTAATCCATAAACACTTCAATTAGTCGACTCAAGCCGACTTTACTCGAGCGTTTCACATCTGACGGCTCAATATAATCCACTTTCCACAAAAAAAAAGTACAAAACGCTCCTGAAGATGTTTTCACTTTTAAAAAAAGTCACAATATCCTCCTTAACCAGCCCTTAAAATGATACTTTAACTTTTGTTTTTAATCAATTTCGGTATGCCTAGAATCCTTATTTTAATTTGGTTATTTCAAAACTACAACTTCTACCCTTGCAACTTTTCAAGAAAACCTATAACATAAACTTAATTATTAACAAAAAAATATTTAAAACTTCTGTCGATTTCGCCAAAGATTCGATCGAGAAAATGACTTTTACAGAATTAAATAAACAATACATTTTAGATAAATTATGTGAGTCCCATTAAAGTTTATTTATCATTTAACGCAAAGAAATTTCTAACAAGTAAAATAAATAAAAGGTAAAATTTTATCATAAATCTAGAACCTACTTACAAAAAATTTCCTTAAAATCTTTAATTTAAAAAAATTTTTTTGCTATTAATTTTCACAAAAGCTGTTAAAATAGAACTTTTTAAAAACGTTTCATAAAAGATTCTGCACCTCTTATCAACCATTAGCCACTACAATGTAAACAATGAAAAATTACCAATCAAAGTGAAATAGTCTAATCTATAAATCAACAATACAGTTTTTAGTACGAAAAAGAAATTATTATCTGACTTTAATTTATCAATTGCATTTTTAGAACAGACAAAAAATAAATATCGAATCAAATTAGGTCTAAATCTCTTGTCTAAGTACGTATAAGCGACCATATGTGAGAGGCGCAAGTTATTCAAGACAACTGCTCCCAGACACTAAAAAGTGGTCGAACAAGATTGTTAAGGTGCAACAAAATTTGAATATAGATTTAAGAACCAACAAATGTAAAAATAGAAATGCTGATGGGATATTATCTATATTCATATTGATAAAAGCTCAGAAAATCTTAAATAACATAGAAAAGATTTTTAAATGATACTTTAACTTTTATCAGTTTCAGTATAACTAAAATATTTTTTTTTAATTTTTCATTTCTATTATTTCGGAACTACCAATACAATTTTTCAAATAAAGGTTAAATAGAACTTTTATTTTAATAAATCTGTAGTTGATTTAGCGAAAAAATGGATTTAAAAGTTACTTTTATTCATAGCTCCTCAAACGAACGAAATATTAGAATCGATTAATTTATTTAAGATAAATTCTAACTCTAATCGAAGACTGATTATTTTTCAGTTAATGTAACTTATTTTTTTTAACAACTTTAATAAATAGAAATTAATTTTTTACCACAAATCTAGAACTTTGTGAGAATAAGGTAAATAAAATAGAATTTCTTTATTAGAATACCATGAATAAAACTTTAATTTTAAAAACTTGTTTCTAAAACGTTTTACAGACAATGTTAAAAATAGAACTTTTTAAAAAACCTTCAACCCTTGTTATCAATCTTTGGCTTATCAACCTTCAATGTAAACATTCCTTTTAAAATAAAGCAGTCCTATTTATAAACCCAATAATAGAAACACATTTAATTCTTTTATTTTTACTATGAAAAAAAATCAAATGAATGACAATACGTCTAAATATCAGTACCTACAAGCGACAATATTTGACAACAAAGCCATGGGTTATACAAGATCGTTGGTTCGTGATACTCAAAAGAAGTTAAACGAGAGGTAAGGTGCAACAAAATATGAATATTATTTATAGAATCCATGTTGCAGCAATATATGTATCTTCATATATACTCAAAAATCTTAAATAAAATAAGAAATTTCTCAACTTAAATGTTTCTGGCTCATATCACCAGAGTCCAAGTGGAATAACTAGAATTAATTTCAAGTTAATAAGATTTAGTTGGCTTTTTTATTGCATTCAAATAAATACTTCGTAAACAGGAACATAATCGTAGCAGATGGAGAGATTTCAAGAGGTATCTTCGTCAAATCCAATGATTGAGACATCATTTTGAAGATTGTCTTCTGTTTCAGGTGCAACTATTATATTATATTATTTGCCAACTATTATATATAAAGCTTCCAAGAAACATTTTCCATTTTCCATACTATGAATTAATTTTTCAATGCCTTAATAGCAATAAAAATTCAAGTAATAATTTAATAAATAATTAAATACAATTATTTGTTAACCTATTTTTCCTATAAATTTTGACCGATCGGTGTGATGTGAGAAATCAAATTTTAACCAAAAATTTTTTTTCCACAATAATTATTACTGAATAATTGACATAACTTGAATGTATTTAGATTTTTTTTTTAAATCATGCTATTTAATATATTTATATAATTAAATTTAATCGTATTAATTTAATATGGAGTAAACAGCATAAAGAACGAAGTCATTAGAATTAGAAAATAAAACTTAAAAATATATTTATGTTTTAAAACAAATTCTAAAAACTTTGAATTTTAAAATATATGCAAAATGAATAAATCCAAATATTGCTAAGTAAAAAATAACATGAAGTCAGTAAGTAGACTTATCACAAATTCTAAATGTTATGATTATCTTCAGATAAATACATTTTAAATAAACTAAAATAATGATAAAACTAATAGGATAAAAATATTTACAAGAAAATTACAGAAAATCTCTTTTTGTTTAACCTGGCCCCAATAAGTTTGCCATAGTAATTTATTCATTTAATCATAGATAATATCATAACTGTTGTAATAATAACAACTAAGGGAATGTTCGTATAAAGCATGAAAATTTGTTTTTTAAATAACACACCTGATAGGGCTCCAATTTTAATTTCATTTACTATTCGTTGATCGTATTATCAAGTCACTTCCGCCAAATTGCCATGTTCGACACTGCTCTTATGTTTTTTAAAAACCGTTTGCAAATTCACTTTTTGCTAAATGTACTTTTTTAAATTCTCCATAAAAATTAACAATAATTAAATAATAATAAAAACAGCAAGTTTTCACTTAATCTTTGTTATTCCATTTCGAAGTGAAATATAGTCAAAATTCGATTAAAATCGATTAATAATACTTGATATTATTAGAAATGTTTGTACCTTCAATTATAATTAATACATGATCGCTTAAATATTTCTTTTAAGAATGGGATTACGAGCAAGTGTTATTTTAATTCAGATAGCCTTAAAACATTGGAAAAAGAAATACTTACAAAGTATCAAGTAACAGTAATAGTTTGTATAGAACATTTAAGAAGCTATTACTAAGAGTGTTGCAGAATTGATAGTCCTGTCAACCTTAAATACTTCCGCTCCCGCAGGAACATATTGAAGGCCTACATCTCATTAGCGATGAGTCCTCAACCAGTCCAGTCATCGAGCAACTCAACCAAAACCGCAACTTTAGATGTATTTGAGGTAAATGTTAAATGTCAAACCTACTGATAACCTACAGCCTCCTTATCATATGCCCGCTTGGGACGGCTTGGCAAATTCGAGAAACGATTTCAGTATAGTTGTCATGTGACTCACGTTTTGCTGAGATTGCAGACTGGGCCTTCCTTCGCGGCATCACTCGTCCCTGAGGTCAGAGAGCAGCCATCACCAGACCACCAAAGAGCTGAACGACACCACCATCGCACTGCGGGATCACCCCGACGACTGAAGTCCACGTGGCGACACCAACGCTTTCAGCGGCCGTTCGCCCAAACTCCGTCGCCCTGACAACAGCATCTTCGGCCGCCCTACGCAGCCCAGGAAATGTCAATACCGGGGGTCTTGGGTCTGTCACTAGTCAAGACAGCTCCCCAGCTGGCGTCACGATCTTTGCGGTTTTCACTCATTACTACTCTGTACAATTATAAAGAATTCCCCTTGTTTTTATATGTAGCTTTTCAGATCCTTCTGTTCTTTCGTTTGGTATGATCAGGTAAGAGAGGTCAAGGTGTTATATACCCGGCAATAATATTCTATGAGGTGTCATAATAACACTTTATATTATTTTAAATATTTTTTTTTTATTTAGAAAAAATACATTTTGCCTCAATTAAGGGCATTGAGTATTTAGGATTAATGAAATAAAAACATACCATATATACAATAAAAGAAAAACAAGATTATAACAAAAAAAAAAAAAAAAACTTGGAGTAACAGAATAAATCTATCATGATACAGCATTAAATAAAAAAATAAATAAATAAAAACACATTCATACTTATTTACAATATTTACAGTCAGCCGAGGGAGCTCCGAGTCGGGCCTTTTCCCCCACGTGTGGAGGATAAGGCAAGACTCCAAGAGATCCCAGCGCTTCTCTCTCAGCCGCATCACTAGGATGGGAATCCAGTGGAGACTGAGAGAGGGCACTGAAGCCACATACGCTCATGCCTTGAGTGGAGAAGCTGGCCATCACCAGGACTCCAATGACGTCTTTACAAAAGATCTCGAGGCCACTGCCGCTTCAACCTTCGAGAAGGATTGTAGGGATGACTGGAACTGGATAAGGATTGTGCTAAGGGATTAGGATGATGGATTAGGTTCTGATGAAAATTTGAAAATCGGGATGGAATAACGTCAAGGACATAAGGGATGTTAAGGTCATGATGAAAGGTTTTGTTCGTAACATAATAAGGAGCATTGACTATTATATGGAGGACTTTAGACTGGAAAGGTCGAAAATTTAGTTGTCCCCCACAGTTCAAGTCCGTAGGTCCAGATGGGTTTCAGTATAGTCTTGTATATTAATAGTTTATTCTCAATTGAGAGGTTAGATTTTCTGTTAAGTAGTCTGTATAATTGGTCAAGTCGTCGGTTAAGCTCTTGTCTTTAAGTCTGGTATGTGGGTTCCATGTTAGTCTTTTGTCTAAAAGGAATCCAAGATACCGAACTGTTTCTGAGATGGGAAGAGGTACTAAGTTGAAAAGGATAGGTGGACAGGATCTGCGTCGGAGGGCAAAGGTGATATGCTTGCATTTGGATTCATTGATCTTGATGCGCCAATTGTTGCACCATTGCTCAATCAGGGAGAACTTTATATTATAAATGTTGTTATTTGCCAAAGGTTAATGATAATCAAAATATGCTTTGTATCGGGTCCCCGTTTCAAGGAGGGCGCCAAAACAAAACATTTTATTGAAAACATTTACAGCAAGCATTCTGTACATAATCATATTATGACTATTGTTACAGCCGTTTGAAATAAGGCCAACGTCAGAAATGGGCTAATAATACTTAGAATACGGAGTACCTGGTATTTTACTCCAATACTGACCTTTTGTGAGTAAGGAAGAATTTAATTACTGCTTCAGTAGATATCAAACGATTAACTGAAGTAATAAATGAATTCTCAAACTGATTCAATTTGAGTAAAATACTTGGTACTTTACCCACAGTAGCATTTGCCTATCTAGACTGGTAAGGCTAAGACGATATTTTTACGGGGTTATAAAATTTTAGATTTTATTCAAAGAGTTAATTTATACTGTACTGTCTCGTCGATTCCAAATATTACTGGCATGATACTTAATGTCGTTACTTAGATTTCGTGTAATTCTTAATAAATTTAAATTAATTTTTACTCTGAATTTGTAAAAAAGAATAATCTTATTTGCGGTGTTGTATATTTCTATTGAAGCTCAACTAGCTCGTCGTGGTATCGAGTTAGTGTGATATTTTTAAATTCCTGCTTAAATAGTTTTTTTCTGACTGAAGAAGAGCATTGGTCTCGTTAACTCTAAAAAATCAAAAACTTCAGTTTTTCTTATGGATGTTTTGTACAATCCATTTTTGGAGTGAAAACATGTTAGTGCAAAAGGTCGTTTATAAAAATTTTCGACTTTTAATTCTATTTGTGCTAAAAGTGACCTTTTGTATTCTGCAACTGATATAAGCATTCTGCTACGATGAAAAATAGCAGAGGACAATAAATTATGAAATTATACCAAAAAATCATAAAGAAACAATTAGTTTTTGTACTTTCCTGTAAAACACTCAATGTTTACCTACGACCTTTTCCACTAACAGTAGTGATATTCATGTTCAGTACGCACTAGATTTTTTTTTAAATCCCGAATCAGCAAATATGCAATCTACTTATGCGGATCTTTTTCGCATTTTAGTATTCGCTGATGAACAAAACTCATGGATATCAAACCCGTATATGTTGAGGGATTACTGAATTTCCGAAAACGGCTTCTTCCAGAGATTTTATTCTCACGCGAAAAATTTTAGACCTTGTAATATAGATATTTTTTAGCCAATGCAAACGGTGAGGAAGCTATACTGACCTTACTTGGCAGACGTTTTTTAATTTTAATGAGATTTGTAAGTATTTAATTTGATGTATGGCAACACAGGCAATTTTTCTGTATCTATAATTTGTCCTAAAGGAACAGAACAGTCGCAGGATAACAAAAAAAAAAAAAAAATGTTTTTATTTCATTACAAATTTCAGAGTTAGCTATCACACGGTTGTTTAAGAAATACTGCTGATGAAGTAATCGAAAATGGATTAATCTTTTAAAAGCAACTTCTACTAGCAAAAGTTGGATGTATCTGACCACTGAAGGGCAGATCGCTAACCATATCACCGAGGTCTTTCAAACTACTCTTGCTGTCCTTAAATATCTCAGCAGGTTGCCGTTTTATTTACCGTTTAAAATTTTTAGTAATTACATGAGGCACACCCAGGCTCTATAAAGTGGGCACTCTTAATTAAATAATTAATTGAGGGGAAAAACCTGGCGTTAAGTTAAATCACCTCCTTACACCATTGTTGGCCAAGAAACAGTACTTCCTTACAAAGTACTGAGTTCAAGACCATACATGCCTTGTAGTTGTACAGCTATCAATGCAAAGTAATTATGTACATTTTACAGAAAATTCAGTTTAATCCAAACTTTCGGGGATTCTGACTGAATGCAGTCACATCTAGTCCGAATTAGGGTGACATTACTGTAATTGAGTATAATAATAATAATACTTTATTTATTCTGGGACAAGTCTCTTTGGAGTAATGTATAGAGATAGAAATGTGGGCTTTGAAGCCTTAATTACAAAATAAACAGACAAGTAAAAGAAAAGAATATTATTTACCTTCAATCTTCAATTAAGGGGGAAAAAATGAAATAAAAGTATATAAAACAAACTAATTATTTATATACATATTTACAACATCTATTAAAATTTTTATGAGAACTGGATGGATAAGAGGTGATTGAACAGCCGAAATTTGAAGGTGGGGAGGATATTGGAGAAACGGATGTAGGATGGGATAGAATTCCATAGGGATGCAGATCGAATAATGAAAGATCTGTCGAAAGCAGTGGTTTGGTGGGATCTTGTGTGCAAATCTGAAGACCGGGAACGGGATTTTATGGGAGTGGGCAGAGGATTCGAATCAAAGGAGCTAGGAGAGGTATGAATGACGGCGGGATTGGATGATTTGGAAGAGAAAGGATGCTAAGAAATACATACGTCAGTAGGAAGGATAAAGCCTTTTCAGCTCTTCTTAATAACGGAAATAGAGTTGTCTCTTGTGATCCTGAAGATGAATCGTACAAGGCGATTTATCAAACGTTTTAGTTCCGCCTCCAGATTCACGGACACGCCCCCATATACCGTACAGCAATAGTCGAAGTGAGGAAGTAATAAGGAGTTTACGGGTTTCAAATGGAAATAGGTGGCGGAAGTAATTTAGTCGTTTTGAAATGGAAAAGTCGTTTTAAAGCACTAGCGAATCCAGCCGGGGGGCGCGCGCTTCCATGCTCAGCAGCTTCTTTGGGATTGAGGTCTCTTCCATCCGTTCAACTTGGCCGTTCGATCTCAGCCTTACTTTCTGAATATATTTCACCACATTCGGTTGCTTGTATAAGTCAGCTAGTTCTTGGTTGCGTCTAATGCTCCATTCACCATTCTCCTTAACTGGGCCAAATATCCTCCATGCCAGAATCCATGCGATTCATAATGCTGGTCACGATAATAATTTGTACATTTCTCATTAGGAAGTGTTGTTTTCTTAAAATAGCTGCTGTTGGGAACGTTTTCATGGGGCAAGATACTAATTATTTGGTCTCCGATTTGATCGGAATCAGACATTATTCTGAGTTCTTGTTCTTAGAGAACTCATTTCCAAGCTGCAGGGCCATTTATTGTAAACTTTCTCAGATTTTGACAATGTCGATAACAATTAGCGTTCATTGATCGTGGTTATCGATCATATCACTTAATCAAATTATTAAGTTTAGGTACACGTTGGACGAACAATTTGACGTTCTTTAATTTCTCAAAGAATACTTTTTTCATTTTGATGCACTGTTTAATAGTAATACATGAAAAAAAAATTTAGATAAATCTGTATTTTTTTGGCTGTAAAACGCTTTCTCTTGGTAACCCGTTTTTTATATGTCTAAACCCATATACAGGGTGTCTCGTAAGTAGAAGGAAATATTTAAAGCCTTGATACCGAACTTTAAACCGAACGTTAAACCGACCTCAATAAATAAAAAACGTTTATATAAACAATAGTTCGATTTTCAGCAGAAAAGTAGAGAATTAAAGTTTTGTGATTTTTCATGTAAACCACGTTTTTGTTGAATATGAATTGATAACAAAAAACTATTTAACTTAAGTAATTAAAGATTGTTTCAGTGTAAACTAGACAAAATTAAATTTAAATAAAAATAGAATTTGTTTTTGTTAAAACCATTTAAAGAGGACTTTTGAGCGGCGAAACTCATCTGAGGAATGGGGGGGGGGAATGGGTAATGGTAGGGGAACGGATAGGGATGGGGGAAGCACCTGGTACAGAAGTGCGTTCCCTCCTCCCCTCTCCCCTGAGAAAATTCCTGAATCCGCCACTGTGTTATAGTAGAATACTTTAGATAAAGTAGGATTATTTAAGTATTTAAAGCTAAATTACGATAATGTTAGTGATTCTCTGACTTTGTAAGAACATACATCTTCTAAGAACTACTTGCTACTCATTTTTTATAGGTGCTAGTCTTAATCATACATGATATAGATTTCAGTAACAAACTCACTAATTTGTTACGATTCATTTTGCTGTTTGTATTAATTGTATTGTCACCCCCCCCCCCTTTTTTTATATATATATTGTTGTTGGAATGGGAGGATAAAGATTCCAAAAGTTCAACTGCATTAAACCACTTGATAACTGACTACATTCCTTGTCTTTAAAACCTAATAAAATTATGTAAACTAAATCTATTGAAAGTATAAATTATTCAATGACATCTAACTCGAATACAATTAATATATCAATTAACTCACATGTTATTCTAAATCTATTTTGATTATTTCTTTTAAGTCCAAATTAAGGTTAGAATTTAGGAGTAGTAAAATTTTTATAAAAAGGTAAAAATTATATGTAGAAATCGTTTCAGTTCTTCTAAAGAATATTCTGGTTTATTAAAATTTTGAGGGAAGGAAATCACAGAAATGTTTACTCAAGTAGGAGAATCCATGGAACAAGAATTCTCTCAAACAATATCAAGTTTAGTTAAAAGGTTAAAAAGAAAGAATGGTGTAACAGGTATTTCTGAGGAATTATTGAAAAAACAAACATATAACTTGATGAAACAACTTGCCAGAAAAATCGTGTACCAAACAGATCAAACAATGAATGGTGAAACAAAGACTGAATTAACTGAAAAAACAGAATTCAGTATGCGTGAGTCAGTGTATACTTTGATTCGTAAAAAACCCCAGAAAAAAAAAAAAGAGGGTGTCAAGAGTCAAGTACTGAAGCAGAACACCAGATCTCTGCATTATAGTAATATCTGTCAAATGATAAAAAACAACACAACTAAGTTAATAAGGAATAAGTTGACATTACACGAAAAATCGAAAAAAATAGTCAAAAAAAGGACGTATAACAGAGAAAAATCTCTTACAGGAAATATAGAATCGATGGAAAAGTTGTTGTCGTGTTGGAAAAAAGATTTTAAAAGGAAAGCAATTGTAGAAGATTTAAAATGGTCTATGAAATCCATTTACAAGAGCTTCACTATGCGAAACGAGATAATGGAGCAGCACATTGAGCCGGTGGCGATAGTTCCTCCACTCTCCCTGCCGATGTGGGCTAAAGCTCTGGACGAGCCTCCGCACACAGTCATCTTACGAAGGACTCCTTCCTTGAATTCATTTTTCGATCAGCGCACCCTGAGGTCGAAGGTGATCATGAGGAGGAGGATGAGGAACGGGTCGCGGAAACCCAATTCCTGCGTGATCCCGACCGAGACCCTGGCGAGGGCCCTCAACAACCAGAAGTGGAACAAGGGGCCTAGGCAGGTCCCCGTTTCGACTTTCCAGGCAACCAGGATCCACTACCGCTTCCTCCTTGCCAAGTATGGCAAGTCCAGGCTCATGGGGAGGCAAAGAGGTAACATTATTCACCAATTATTGGCTTTAATTTATAAATATGAGTGAATAACGTCATTTCATAGGAATCATGTGAGAGTGAGGAAGAGTGAAATTCTGTTTTTAACTGATTATAAAAGGAGATTTTTTCCCAATCCCTACAGTTAACAGACGGCTCTCTCAGTTTATTTCCAGCTAGGAAATCCCAAATACAAAATTGCACCTTCTTGTGTGTTGCATTTAGGTCGAAGCCATCTTTATAGACCCTCTTTCAATCATAAGGAAGGTAAGTCCTTCTTAAAAATGGAAGTGCTTAGAATCCTTCGGTTATTCACTTAACAAAGCAAAGGAAGAATTTGTCAGATCTTAGATGACTTCTGGATAAGTAAATGAATTGATTTAAATTATAAAACATTATGGAGAATAGGATTCCATTTAGAGAAATACTTTTTTTAAAGCATGTGTAAAGTTCCTTATAAGTGCAGGTGGAAATTTCTATCATACAGGTAATTTGGTAGCCGAAAAGGATCCTAACTTCTGACTCCACAATGTAACCTTAAGAACATATCTCACATGGCCGACCTTAACAAAAGCTTTTTTGTGATCGAGCCAATTTCATTTGTATACTCCGAAATGTATTCTTAATTTTAATATGTTGATTATTGAGTATAGTCACATGATAATAAAAAAAAAAGTTGCTAGAAGTGGTATCCTTATCATTAAGAATCAAAATGTACGAAAACCGGTATATAAAATATACAATATATAGTTATAAAATTAATGCTAGTTCAGTAAATTTATTTTTTTTATAAATATTTTTTGTTTCAGTGTACCCTAACTCAATTAAATCAAATGTACACTCCAATTTTTCTGTTATTAATCTACTCCATGATGTTGAAGAGGCTATTTCACAAAACAAATATTCAAAAGAGACAGATAGAATAGTAAAAAACTTCAAAGAGGAATTAAATAAAGATCTTCTCAATAATGAACCCATAAATAAAAAATATAAATATCAAATAGGCAATCCAAACAATTCTGGTACAAGAAAAAAAAGCAAATTAACAAAACTATCAAGTGTGATAAGTTTATCAGAGCTTGTTGAAAAACTAGGAGGAAATGACTCAGAAGAGAGTTGTAATGACTTAGAGTCTGTTCAAGAAAGTAAATCAGAATCTTGTATCGAAACTGGGCATTCACAATATCTAAATACAAACAAACCAGTAATTAATTCATTAGTGGATTCAGATTCAAATAGTAAATTATTCAAATCGTTGAATAATGACTTTCCAATTACCGATGCTTCTAATAAGTTAAAAAATAATGTTGAAGATATAGAAGGATCCAAAGTCTCTCCAAACAAAAAGTTTATTTCAAAAGAAAAAAGAAATATAAAGAAAAAAAAAACTTTAATGAAAGAAACTAAACCAGAAAATATTTCCGAAGAAGAAAGGCTTAATGCAATTTTACAAGAATTACAAAAACAAGTTAAAGTTTCAGAACCTCCTACACCTATATTCTTGACAAAGAACGATTCACTTACTGAATTAAATTTTGAAAAAGAACCATGTACCTATCTCAGCATGCACCCATCATCTATCACACTCGATAGTGATAGCCAAACAAGCCATTTGGAATCCACCCCACAAAAAGAATGTAGTATTACAGAACTATCAGAACAGGAGTCAAAGCACTCACTACTGCCACCCTCAGAACCTGTGCCAATCATAAAAAAGAAGAAACCACTGAAAAGTGAACACTCTTCGTCTAAATCATACTCATTCCGAATAGATTATGAATGTATAAAAAACAAACCTATGAGCATATGTAATATTATAACTGCCCTAGAACGAGTCAACAAGCTTCTTCAGAATATCCCGATTCAATACGACAAACATACAGGTCGTCCTTACATAGTATATGACCCTAAAACAATAGTTAAAGTGATTAAAGAGGTCAACATTAAACATGAATACAAAATGGTTGTAAAAAAGTATAATAAAAAGGCAAAAATCGATTCAGATACAGATAAAAGTATATGTGAGACTAATAAAATGAAAACTAGTAAAATTGAAACAATTAAAAAAGATGAAAAGGGTTTAACAGAAGTTGGAAATCAATTGTTACAATGTATTTTGAATTTAATGGAACCGTCAAATCTCAATGAAAGTATCTGTTGTATAAAGGATCAAGATGAGTACAATAAGTATTCTCAAACATTTGACCAGGAAAATTCTGATATTGATCAATCATTAGAAGACATGACTGGCAGTAGATCCATTGATCAGCTAACATACACAACAGAAACATTGCAATATAAGAAAATATACTTTGAACAGATAATTAAAATAGCATCAGCTTATCAAATAAATGGTATTTATCATCAAGCAATTATTTATATGGATAGGCAAGAATACTTCAACACCATTGAATCAACAACTTGTCAAAAAGTCCAGATAAAAATGCACAACACTAAACAAAGTAAAGAAAAAAACACAACCAAATTTTCAAATGGCACTTATGCAGAATTAAAAGAGAAATACATGGTAGAATTCAGAGAACGCAAGAATATACCAAATGAGCTGAGTAAGAAGTACTGCAGGTATTCAACAAATGAAAATCCCAAGCAAACTCAGACCAACATATCACAAAAGTATTACCACCAATATAACAAAACCAGGAAGTTATTATTGTCTAAATATGAAATCAAAAGAAATATAAAAAAAGAATCTGTAGAAAAAGGTCTTAATAAGGGTTGTCTTAAAACAGATGAATCTGAAAGCCACAATAACAATGAGAAGAATGTAAAAACCAATTATTCTAGTAAACATGGCCTGTTTAGAACTGTCGATAAACCTGAAAATACAAGTCAGATTACATACATTCCTACGGTACACAACAATGAAAAATCTCACATTCATTTTGAAAAAAGGTACAAAACTATTAAAGATGTAGAATTAATTCAATCCCATAAGAGAAAAGATATAAAAAATAATTACACAAAGGGATACAATAGGCCCCACTTTAATCCTTTAAGTACATTTGATACTATGGGTCAGATGAATACTAACAAAAATGATTTATTAGTTAACAAACAGAATATTTCAGAAGGATTTGGTGGCTTTGCACTCAATAAATCAATAATGAACAGTATGCTCAGATCAGTTTCCATAAACACCATACCCAACACATATCCAATGAGGAAGGACATAACAAAACAAATTTTTTATTTTCAAATAACATATCCCTTTATCAAAGATTTAAATGATTTCTACAAGAAACGACCTTCCCAAGAATACTTTAAACCTTCAGAAGATGATATATTCAGCAAATTCATCTACTACAAAGAAAATAGTAAGTCACAAACATACAAGAATGATATTAATCAACAAGTAATAGACTCAGTAAATACAATTAAAAATGATTTGAACAATAATATCAACAATATCTGTCAAATAGTAAACATAGATAATCAGCTTCTGACACGGTTCCTGAAAATCTGTTTAAAACAAAATGAGCTTGATTTTGAAGAGGATAAAAAATTGTTGATACTTGAAACAGAAATGGAAGAATTAAAATCTCTAATGGAGAAACGTTTAGATAAAAAAACAGTGCCTGTAAGACCAATACAAAGGAAAATAAAAGAACCTGGTATCAGCGGACAACAAAAAATTCATGTGCTTGATAACAACTCGAAGATAAAGCAGAAAATTTTAAAAAATGGATTAAATATGAAAGAAATCAATACAAATCAATTATTTGGCAATAAGGGGCGGTATAATGAAACAAGAAATCCAGTTATTGAAGATCTATATGATATCTCCAAGAAACTATCTAAAGAATTCTTTGAAGTTTCACAAAATGTAATATTAAGTGAATTCATCAATTATGAAGAAAGCGGTAAGTTGCAAGCATACAAAAAAGACTTTAATCAATCAGCAATGGATTCAGTAAATACAATTGAAAATGAATTAAACAAGTACATCATTAATATTAGTAAAATAGCAAACATAAATAACCAAATTCTGATAAAATTCTTGAAGATTTGTTTAAAACAAAAAGAGACAGGTATGAAAGAGGATGAAAAATCATATATATTTGAAAAAGAAATGAAAGAATTAAAATCACTTATAGAAGAACACTTAGGTAAAAAAACAAATCCCTTAAAATTAATACAAACAAAACAAAAAGGACCTTGTACCAGTGGGTATAAGAAAATGATTTTATTTGATATCAACTTGAAGATTGTGCAGTCAGTTTTAAAAAACAAACTGAATATGGAAGAAACTACAATAAATCAACACATAAACAATAACAGCTGGTGCCTTGACTTATTGAGATTCTTGAATTTCCTCATGTTGATTTACACCCTCTTTTCCATCTTCAATTAATTCACAGGAAAAAAAATGCGGGTTTTTGATTCAATTAACTTTATTTATTAAAATACAAACATAATCGATTTCATATTCGTTATAGAGAGTTTTAATAACAATCATAGCATAAATTTGTTATCTTTTTTTTTTATTAATGAATAAATTTAGCACAACTAGAAGAAAGAAAGTAGAAAATTATGTTTCTTTTCGCCTATTTGCTTTGGAACGACGACCTCTATGACGAAAAGGATGCTTTCTAGAGGAATGTTTTGAGTGTTTAGCCAATGGTACAGCATAATGCAGATTTCGTGTAGGATCTCCGCATTCAATTTGTTGCATAGGAAACATATATTCCAAAGTGATGTCATACCTATGAATATATAAAAGATAACATAAAACAAAAATATGTACATCGTTTACCTCATTAACATAAAAATAGTGGTGTCATATTCAATTAAAACAAATAATTGTTTATGCTTTATTGTTTAAATGCTCCTTTTCAAGTTTAATATTATAACTAACCAAGTTCTGAATCATATTTTTCGGGCAGTCTGATATATTGAACACTAAAGTTGAATTATCATTGCACAACTTTTAGATGTAAAGCATATTACATAGACTTATTTTATAGATACAAATTTTTAATAAAAAAACTTATTCAAAAGTATGATCCAGGAGATGATAAGAAAAAAGCATCAAATAACTGCTGCAATTTATTCAATACCAACGTTTCGACACATATAGGTTTTCATCAGAACTGAAATATGGAAAAGTAAACTAAATAGTGGAATGAGCCAAGCACACCAAAACAAAAAAAAATAAAATAATAATACTGATTCCTATCAGAATAATTGAGCTATCTACGCACTGTGGTATTATGAGGTTAAAAATTATTTTTTCCTTAATAAAGTGTTTATATATTTAATCTACTATGGCAATGGAAAAGAAAAATAATGAATTATTGATTTAACCTGAATTGCATTCTGTTTTATGAAAATAACTAAGCTCTTCTATTTACATTCTGATATATACTAATGTGACCAATGAGATGTCTTGGTTTTCTTCCAGCCAAACAAAACTTTCTTATACCACAATTGTGGATTGATGGTTGACTAGTGAATAATTGAAGAGAAGAATGGTTGGGGTGATCAGTAAAAAAAATAAGTATATTTATTTTTATTTTTGCCAATATTTTTTTTATTTCTTACCATAACAATGTTTGTCTTGTGGAATCCTTTCGTTCAACCAGGTGTGTCTATCTTTCTTATCTTAGTTTTCTTATCTTTTTCCTTTTTCCCGTAACTTTATTTTCCATATCTCCACCTCTATTTTGTTTATATTGATACATTTGCTCATTACATCTTATTTACATTATTTTAACTTTTTATTCTCTTATACATAGTCAGTATATTTTGATTGATTTTACAGTATCTCAATTTTCTATTTATATCTACTATTTCCTTATATAACTTCATATTCCTTTTCTCAGTTTTACATTTTATTCTATGATTATCTCACTTCCTGTTAACATACTATTACGCCATATTTTAGCAACTATGTCACCCATTTATTTTTTCTCTACACTTACATTTTTTACCTCATACATTCCATTACATTTGATTGTTAATTCATTTTTCATTTCTTATGTTACCTCATTTTGATTATGATTATTTCATAAGTCCCCACTTTATTGCCGTTATTATTTATTTCTTAGTTGTCTGTTACTATTATTATTCTACCTGCCTAGTATCTTTCACCTACATATTAAGTTTTTTATTATTTATTTAATGTTTATCATTTATCATCCCTATTGTTATCTGGTTTTCTATTAGTCCGGATGAAGGGCTGAACTTTGGAACGAAACCTCGACAAAAATAAAAATAAAAATAAATATACTTATTTATTTTTAATTTTTTTTTTCTTCTCTTCAACTATCTTATACCACCTTTGTTTTTTCCCATGTTTATAATACTTTAAGAAGCTAGTTCTTCAATCTCACCTTCAGCAAGATATATTTTAACAGGGGACAAATATTACACCTAGCATGCTAAGCCCATAAGAATAAAAGCTAAAGATGAAAATTCTCTAGAATGATACAATTATTGACTATGTTGTTGTTAAAATTTAAATTAATATATGAAAAACGATATTTAGAAAAAAACAAAACATTATACCGTTTGAATCAATGAAAGATATTACTGACCGAAAATCAAACAAAAATTCTATTCATATTCTTAACACGCCAGAAATTTTGATTATGGTGAAATTATATGGCAGAGTGTGAAGTCAGTTATGCAAGCATAATTACTATATAAAGATAGCCTAATTTGCCAGGGACTAGTTCTAGATTCAGTATGTAATGTAATATACTGATGTCAATTGTTAAAAAATTAATATATAAGAAGAAAAGAGATAATTCTTCATTTTTCATAACTTCACAGCATTTTGTTGCTAAGTATAACACAGTACAGAAAAGCATAATACTACTTAAATGCAATATATAAATTGCCTATAAGACAGAAGCAATATTATTACACTTCTTTCACTGAAATAATCAATTAATACATTTTCAATAATGCCTATCAATAAAGTTGTAATACACAAGTCATTTATTAGGCAACATTGTAATATATTTTAATATTAATTATGTTTTGTTGCAGGCCAATAACTATATCAAAAAGAAAAACTTTTGAGATGGATTGTTATATATATATTTTTTTAATTATCCAGGAAGATGAATAGTCAGGATTTTCAGTCAACATTTTTTGAACAAATCAAACAAAAAAAAAAATGACTGAAAACTGACTATATACATATTCCAAGATAATTCAGCCTTAAATCATTAAAAATATATGTTTTGTTTTTTTTGTTTTCATATGCAGGACATTCCAGTAATGGATCCATTATTCTTTTAAGCATTTAAGTTAGTATTTCAATTATCAGGCCTAATTTTAATTTGGAGGCTGTTTATAATTAATAAAAATAAAAGTTTTGTTTGATGGTTAGATGTTATAGGCATATTAATTTCTCGTTTATAATTAAATTTTTAATGTATAACTTATATTTGCAGGATAGAGTAGTTATGAAGAGGCATTTTTATGTAGGCTGTTCTATTTCAGTAATATTTCCTGTTAATTTATGTATTTAAAATTAGGTATTAAGATTAGATTTAAAAAAATAATAATGGAGCAATCGATTTGAAATCATCCAATTAGAATTAATTCTGTTGCCCAGCATTTTTGATTATTATAATTTTCTTAAAAGTTGTTCCTTATTTATTTGAGAGTTCAAAACCATAGTTAAAAAAAAATTTAAGGCTCACAGTTTTTCCTTGGCTGCCATTTTGAATTTTTTTTTTTTTTTTTACTGAAGCATGTTTTGGAATAATGCTTAACTCAGGTAATACTGTAGATGTCAAACCAAAATTAGAACTGAAATAATGTGGAGTATTTTTTCCACATTTTTGTACATCAACACATCATCTAAAAAGAAATCAAAGTGGTTTAAGAAAATCATGAAAGTATACATAAAACGAGACTTTCAGTGCTGTGCTCCAAAAGAGTAATAATGAAAAGAGGAACAACTTCAATTTTTGTTTTCATACGTAGTACAGCCACTGTACTACTTCTTGATGAAATTTAAATCTTGTCCTTTTTTAAATATGAATTTTCAATAACTGCAAAAAGTCATTTTCAGCAAATTTTAATGTTGAATATCACAAAAGGAACAGAGTGAAAAATTATGAAAAGAGTTCATATCTCTTTATGAGAGGAACATATGATACCAATTTGATCACTGAGACTCAACTGGTTCTACTAGTTATAGCACAATAAATATTGCGGCTCAATAAGAGTCGTTATCAGCATATTCTACCTCCTCTTACTCATGTATTGTTGCAGATCTCAAAACAAAACAAAAACAGAAATTATAGTGATGTTTTGCTCTAAATTTTTTGTTCTCTCAATACAGATCCTGAGTAGCAAGGAAATTTGTTAAAAATTTGACAACTATAAAATATAAATTAACATAAAATGAGATACTTAACACTGCAAAACTTTAATAATCAAAAGAGTCTCAACTTTAATATTTTTACTTTCACTTACGTATATATGTAATATATAAGTGTAAGTATTGCGATCGAGAAAATTTTTGAATCTGAGTTTTCGACGGATTTATATGTTTTGAGGTACCCTGAGTCGAAATGACCAAGTCCCGACAAATGGTCTGTGTGTCTGTGTGTTTGTATGTTAGCAGTCTAGCTCAAAAACGAAAAGTCCTATGAAACTGATATCACGTATTTAAGATAGGTATATGCCTTAGTTGTGACGGCAACTTTTTCCTTAAAATCGGCTAACCGGAAGTGCCACTTTATATCAACGCTGAAACACATTTTCACAGTTTTTTCAAAAACGGCTCCAACGATTTTGATTAAACTCGGTGTATCATTGTATAATTAAGTGGTGTTTAATATAAATTAGGTCTTATCCCCATTGATGTCACTTTACAGGGATTAAATGCCCAATGTTCATATACGTCTTCCTCTAAAGTACCTTTAATATGGTTTATTTTAAAATGATAATTATTTCGCATTATTCAGAGTTACAAAAAAATGCTAAATATAACTTTTGAAAGAATTTGATAAGTTAATAAAGGAGAAAAAAAATAAAAATGCAGAAAAAAGTAGCTAACTAGAATAGCGCCTAAACAAATGTACCGATTTCATTGAAACTTCGCTAAAGTCATTTTCTCGACACCCTTCAAATTTATCTATACAACATTCATCAGCAAAAAGAAGCTGAAAAAAAGTTACAAGGGATGGTAAAATTAAATTCCGAATAACTCAAAAAGTATACACTTTTTTGGGAATGTTGTATTATGGTTTTCTAAAAGTTTATGGAATAGCCTAAAAAACAAAAAAAAAATCGTTAAAATTGGATAATTAGGAGATAAGATATGGTCTCTATTTTTTTTTTTAATACGTTCTGCTGCAATGGTTATATCCTTTGTTTCGGTTTTTGAATTTTGAATGTGTTAATAAGGTAATGCTAATTTTTTTTAAATGTATTTAAAATCCACCTAAGCAACTTGATGGCATTGTTAAAAAAACTATTTCAGTGTACTTGTGTGAAAGAAGAAATAAAATATAAAATCATTTCATGGATGTATAAATCATGTGTTTATAATATTAAATACATTTACTGTAGTTTAGTAATTATTTATTAAATTTTAAATTGGTCCATAATCGTCTTATCTTTTTGGCTACATTCAAGGAATTGCTGTGTTATATATGTGTGCGATGTTATATTGCGTTCCTGGCGTTTGAGAATTTAAAGAGAAAAAAGGAATTTTTTTTTATTTTGGGAAAGTGTTTATTATG